GTTGCGCATTTCAAAATCAATCTCGTATATCTCAAATTTCCGCCCAGGCCAGACAACGGCTTGAGTTTTACCTTACAAAAGTCAAGATCAAAGTTGGCTCTTCAGACGTAATTAAGCCATTTGCAGCACGTTTTGCCAATTCAAAAATACACTTTGACCTCCTGCCCTGTGTGCTCTTATCGCAGAGCGCAGAGCGCGCCCAAAGGCAAGACTCATTTAAATTGTTGAAGATGAAGATAGAAAAAAAAGAAAGAGAAAGAGAAAGAGAAAGAGAGGGAGAATGCCGCCAAGCTCGTAACAAGTCAAAATTTGAGCAACCCCTCCAAGCGATGGGCGTTTGTGCCCGTTGGGCGCAAATTCGTAGGAAAATCACGCGCGCTTATCTCAACCTTAACCAAACCCACGCAATTAACGCCCATTGCGCTGTCACTGTGAAAAATGAGGCCGCATAACTGGGGGGCGGAGCTGAGCGGAGGTAGATGTGGCAGGGGCATGTATAGATTGGAGGGGAGCAGCGGAAGTAGTTGCCCCAAACCCAGTTCAATTCTTGGCAATTGCGAAATGATTTGCAAACGATGCGCAATCGAAATCGAATTGGATGGAACTCCCCATTGTAGTCGCCATTTAGCAATAGCTACAAATTTTAATTGCCGTTGCGATAGCGTCCTGCAGCTGTAGCTGGCAGGAGCCCGAGAAGGGGCTGCTTCACAATAAGTAAGTCGAATTGATAAGAGAGTCACGTTTCACGTTGCACGGAAGCCAGCTGAAGTGCTCCAGCATCGGCCGAGGCAGGGAGGCGTTGCCCAAAGACAATGTTCCGGGTGTCTCCATTATCAATGACAGCCGAACGGAAACAATGGTTACTCTTTTATTGCCACGACTCCTGCTCGAGGAGCAGGAGCAGGAGCAGCTACAGCCAGAGCAGGAGCAGGAGCAGACAGCAGGCAGCTGCTGCCTTTGTGAGTAAAATTGATAAGATGCCGAAAATGACTTGGAAAACAATAAACGTGGCTATGAAATGAATAAAGACTCTGCATTTAGCACCCGGAATGAATAGAGCGCCACTTCAATGGAGAGAAACTCAAACGTAATTTCGGTGCATAAACAGAACGTTTGCGCATTTTAATGAGGGTATTACTTGTGCCTCCTGCCGATTGAAAATCGAAGCGAAGAAATCGGATATTGCAGCTGTAGTAGCAGGCAGGAGGGAAAAGGGGTGCATGGGAATAGCTATATATGCGAGCATAGGGGCTCCAGTGTTATCGATTCTCGATTATGTACTATGTGATGCATTCACTCATTATCATCATCAGCTGAGGCCGCGGACTCACGGCAAAAGTTTGCTCTCATTTAATAAAATTTCATTTGATGAGACAACAAAAGTCGAGTCCATTCCGGATTGCAACTTGTTCTGACGCGCAACAAAATTTTATGAAATACTTGAGAGCAAATTTTATGTCTTGGCGCAGCATAAAATTTTAGCGCTAGCAGAAGTGCCCCGCGTCTCAGGCCGTTGGCGGTTTCTCCTCTCGGCCAGACAGAGCTTCGCTCAGCCTTGGCTTGGCTAATAATATCAAGCATTTACACCTTTATGGAGCGCACTTAGAGCGTTTATTTATGCTAATGGCCGGGCAGAACAAGCGGGGCCCACTGTTGTTGTATCTCAAAGTTAAGCCACCGAAAGTGGCGTCGGGGCGAGCTTTACACTAATACCACCCCGAAGCGCTGTAAAAGCATAAAAGAGCATTACAACAGCAGCAGGAGGGGGAGCAGGAGCAGGAGCAGGAGAAGGAGCACGAGAAGCTGGAACAACAAACAGAACATCCGATAGTCAGCTCAAGACTAGAGCAGGTAAACTTAGTGCGAGTCCATTTCATCACATAAGACAAAAGTTCGCTCCAGTCGCCACCCTCAGCTCTTGACCTCCCCATGCAGTGGCAGTGGAGAAGTCCTGGGGCAGCCTCACAGCCTTGTCACGAATGTGTTTGTAATTTCCCCAGAGTGTGTTTGACTTTGACGACTTAAGTTGTAAACTTTAACATTATCATTTTCACTACAAGGCGAGGCGAGCGGCTTCTTTGGCCTTCGGCCACCAGCAGCCGAGAGCAGCTAGCAGACATGGCCTGCTCCTTGGAGCGACTGCCCTGGCATGTGGCATGCGGCACGTGGGGTGTGTGGCATGTGTGTTTGTCCTGCCCGCAAGTTTAGCCAGACATTTTGATGATGTTGACCTTCGCTACTTTTACTTTTCGCAAAGTATCTTTGCTTCTTTACATTTTGCAGCAACCTCCCGACACTGTTGACATATCGAATTACACTCGAACACACAGCAGAGCAGAGGGAAGGAGAGGAGCTGGATCGTTTCATAGATTTTTTTTTTTTCGCCCTGAAGTTGAAGCCGCTGCGTGAATCCAGCCCGTGCTCGATGGCGGCTCGAATTACCGAACTGCCGAATTGATTTCCTTTGCTACATGTGTCAATTAGTTAAATCAGAACACGAGAACACGTCAGCCGCATGTGTGACAATGCCTCCCATCCCACCACCGCCACCGCTATCGCCACCGCCGTTGCCACCACCATGCGAGCCACGCACCCCTTCCTGAAGGGCTCGACAGCGGCGCATTGAATGTCATCTCCAAGGCTTTCCACTCGTGCGTGCCATTTTTCACAAAATACTCAAAAAAAAAAAAAGTCAAATAATTTCAGTTTGCAGCACTCGGCACAATGCCCTCCAAAGCATTTAAAGTTTGGATTTATTAAAAACATATTATGTGTCATTAATAATTCGTAGCCTTCGCTCATTACTCACATTCACATCAATGCAACAATCTGATGCGCTTTGAGGCACCGAAAAACAGTTATTGAAAAAGAATCCAAGCTAAGATTTGTTCTACATCAAGTATAACATATAATGATGTATGTAGAATTTTAGGTATCCTTCGGGCAGTACATTTATGGATATTCACGAGAATGAACGAAGAATCCGAATGGATGAAACAATTAAAGTTGTGAAGTAAGGAATATAAAATTATATTATTTCATATTGATCCATATTAATTGATTTGTTGTACAATAGAACCTTAAACATAATTGTTAAGGTGTTAAATGCTTAAATGAATAATTTATAATAAAATAGAATACATTTTTCAATTTTAGTCTTTAAAAGTCTTAGAACCCAACTTATTAAAGTCATACGAAAAAAAAAAATTAATAAAATGAAAAGTTTTGTATAAATATGTATCAGTGTAAAAAAATATATGCATAATAAGTAAATTTATGTAGAATATAATCAATGTTGAGAATTTTATGAAATAAGATTTTTAAGTAGAACTTTGAATTTGAGCTTGATTTGATTAATAATATTTAATTTAATATCAAGTAATTTGCAAATAAAATATGTTTTAAAACTAAGTAAAGTAATAATAATAATGCCACTCTGTGGTTCAGGGAACTAATATACCAATAAACAAATAAGAAAGCTCTAGCTCTAGAGGCTGCATATTTAAGCTAGAGCTAGACTTTCATTACGATTTAGTTGCGAATTCAAATCAATTCTGATTTGCATTTTAAACGGTTTGAAGAAAAGCTAGAAAAAAACAGTCCGTCTTATTGATTTTAAGTTTGTTCTTAATTTATATGTAGAGATATCATAAGGAATCAACTATCTCGAAGTATGTCATTATTTATTTTGAATACTGTCTGATTCATATGTAAACGGTACATTATTTATTTAACTTAATTTGTTCTTTTTATCATGATTATGATTTTATTGCTGTGATCAATACATAAATAAATTTTTAAAAATTTTACTGAGTGACTGAAATGTAGTCTTAGAATAACATCCGGTTATACCTTGCTCTATGCATCTTACCATATATTCTCGCAGATCATTTCAAGTTTTTTGTATATTAATAAGGCTTATAATTTGTTCTACGGCTTTTGTTTTAATTACTTCGGATCACAGATTGGCTGCAAAATTAAATTTTACTTTTTCATACAGACGATTTACCATTTTTCAGAATCATGCAGTTTCCCATGTTCAGTTGTTCTTTGGGTCCGATTTTTCTTTCTCATGGAAATCAATTACTGTGTAGCTGCTATTGTGAATAGTGTAAACCTGATATTCAGAAGCGCGAGCTTATCGCAAATGATGTTAGCGCAACGTGTGCCGTAAATTAGAATCAAATTGAGAGGAGTCAAGCTGATTTATGCGTTTCCCATAACCAATGCCGCTTGTATAACAACAGATAAGCGGGCGGAACAACTGCAGATCCCGTGGACGGACTCGGAGCGTGGAGAATGAAAATGCAAAAGGTAAACAGTCAGCCGTGGGCTGGACCACCCTTTGACACGCGGCCCGGGCTGCGCAATCACAGGGACATAATCAGCTCGATTTCGTAAATCTCGACAAGCTGCTTATCTGATGAAATGTGAGCGGAGTTCTAAGGATCTTGCTCACTTGATAAACATCTCACACGCTCGGCTTGCAGACTTCCGGCCGGCCGTGGGGGCTGTCAAAGTGACAGCTCAGGCGATGCGGGGGCGAATACTAAGTACAGTAAAGCCTGGCGCGTGCGGCTGTCAGAAGCGGCCTGCGTTGCTGTCGTGAGCTCTTCATTTTTTTGTTCTCTGATTGGCATCGGAAATTGAAGTGTTTTTATTAATTTCAATTGGACATTTGCGCACTGACTTCCACAAGTGCGAATATTTCATTACGCGTCTTCATTTGAGCCAAGTCGGCAGCTCCCAGTCCCCGTTTCCTGCTGAATTTCCGCAGCGCGCCTTTTGTTTCTTTTCTACGGTTGTTGTTTGTGGCAATATTAAAATTCATTGATGCAGCTCGACGGATTTGTTGCGCAATTTGATTGACAGTCAATTGCGATTGATGCTTATTGAATTGTGCCAAAAGCAGGAGGAGGGCCTGCCCTCCTGTCAGGCCAGCGCAGTGGCACAACTCCTCAAGTGGAACTCTGTATTTGAAGCATCAGTAATCCGCAGAGTAGGCGTTCATTTTCGACAGCTCGGTTAGAATTAAAATCTCGTGTAGAAATCTCAGAAAAAAACACATTTTATATTGTGATAATATTCTAGTCTTAGGTTTTTTACGTTCCGCAAAAACTTTTGATTTGACAAATGGCACCCAATCACCGGGAAATCTCGCCATTCCTGAAGCTCGTTCGCGACTTTCTTCTGGGTCGCAAGCACCTGACCAACAACCGCTACGCGGATACAGTCAGTGCTCGTAGCCAGACTCCTCCCACGATTCCCGAGGGACCTCCCACTCGGCTCTTCGGCAATCAGTATTACCTGAGGGATCCGCGGCGTCAGATGGGGCCGCCCATTGACGTGATTGAGCAGAAGAAGAAGGAACTCGCCGCGGCCAAGGCTGCCGAAGCTGCTGCCAAGGCTGCTCCCAAGGACGCTAAGCCTGGCGCCGTTGCCGGACCTGCCCCCAAGGGTGGCCCGGCGCCGCCTCCTGCACCTGCACCTGCATCTGGCAAGTGTCCTCCTGCTGCTACTGAAGGTGCGAAGCCTAGTCAAGGGGGACAGCAGAAAAACGGATCTGGGCTTCCAGTGCCGGGAAAGATGCACAATTGGGATTAGGAAAAAGGTCGAAGGTTTTAAATTTAAAGTGATTTACAGACATTTCAAGTGATTTACAAACTGTGCATGCACCACATTAAACTTCTCTGCGCTCATCAGCTATCCAGCTCTACAGCTATCCAGCTATTCGGTAATTCAGTTATTCAGTCGTCGAATTGTTCAGCAGTGCGAACATAATTGCGGCCTTAGGCACTTGACACAATGGCGAGCGATGTCAGTCAACGGTCAGCGACAATGCGAGAGGGGGCGGTGCGTGAGGGTCGTAAAAACGGAAATCTAATTAGACATCGGAGGCGAAAATCATTTATTACACCTGCATGAAAATTTAATTAAGCGCACAATTAACAGCGCTGATACCTTTACAGCCCGCGTCGGGGCTTATGTATGGCCTCTATAATATTTAATGCCATCAAAATTTATTTGCAATTTAAAACGAGGCAATTTTCGCAGCGACGTTGAGTGGATTATGCCAATTGTTGATGATGATTGGAGGTCGATTGTTAATTGTCTGTTGCCGTAATTTATGTTAATGACTTTTCACATCGATTTATTGATTGCAGCAGTGCTGCCCAGGGCAGCTCCTGAAACCCACCCTAACCCTGTTCAAGCGAGTAAACGAAAATATAATCTGATTTGGAGCTATGCAAAAATTCTTATATACATACAGTCAGTTATTGTTGCGGGCGGTGTGGTAGAGCGGTAGAGCGGGCGGCCTCAAATTTATTGAAATTGCCCTTATAAGCCATAAACCCATCGAGGGTTGACTTCAGCTTGAAGTGCCTTTCGCCAGATTGCAAAAGGGTGTCAATTGCTTGGAAATTTCACTCTCCGCCTGTCAAGTCAACATGTTGCCAATGCTGATTCGCATTTCGCAGCTGCCAGAAAATATGAATTTCGCAACGGAACTGTATCACTTTTTCCTCCAGATTTGTTTTTCTCCGTTTCTTTTCAGCTTGCGTGGATTTATCGAGAGTTCTGTTCTCTTTTTATGGGGCCCAGAAATTTATTTATTAAGTTGTTTACTGCCTCCACAGTCATATGCTACATACTTGTCCCCAATCAATGCTAATTTCTGGGCCACACGTGTCCTCGAGTATGCTAGTATCCGAGTATCCAATCTGGGCTTCAATTAACTAAGACGTCATGTTTGAGTTGAAAAAATATGATGAGGAAAACAGTCTTTGGACTCTCTTAATAATAAATGTGTGCTTAAGAAAAGTCCCTTTCGAACTCCTTTTCAAATGTCAATTTCGGCTAACCAAAAATTGCGGGCCTCAGACGACAGCTGGGCGCAATTGTCAACGCGCTGCACGCGTTCCACGCGCTCTGGCTCGCCGGCGTCAAATGTTCAAATGTTACTCCAATCAGAAACGCGTAATTAAAATATGTACAAACATGCCGGGGAGCTGGCAAACTCGCGTCCGCCAAGGAGGAGGCGGGGCGCGGCGAGCCGGAGTTTGTTTACTTTGCGTGTTTTGCTATAAAACCAAAAATAACAAAAACGACAGCAGGATCCGCCGCCGCCGCAGCAACAGCAGCAGCAGCAGCAGCAGCGGCAGCAGCGGCAATAACAACAAGAATAGCATTTGCATAAAGCAACAAACAGCTCGCAGGCTTAGGAGTGGGTGTTGAGCGGCGGGTGTGGGAGTTGGCTTAGTGGGCGCCCTCAAACGGAAGTTAATGAGCGCCGGAGTGGGACAGTGGGACTGTGGAACAGTGGGACAGCGAGACAGTGGGACAGAAAGAAAGAAATCCAAAAATTCAATCCCCAGGACGCGGGCGAAATCACTTCATTAATGCGTCATTTGTAAGGGAGCATGGCCGAGTCTATAGTCGCTACATGGCCAGGACGTGGCCATATGCGAGCGAATATGGCCGCGAGGCAAGTGCTCCTGCTCCTGCTCCTGCCAGAAACGGAAGTTGTCTCCGCGCCGAGCACGAAAGTTTGCGCGAAACTTGCCACCAGGCTGAAACAACGTGTGACAGTTGCCTGGGAAAGTTGATTATTTTTTACACGCAGGGCTTTCTGGGCCGCGCAGGAGGCGGCGGGGCCGGCAGCCAGCTTCTAGTACACTGAATAATGACTTTTACTGTTGCGACGCATCCTCGTAGTCAGCAATGCCTTCGGGCCAAGTTTACGAGCTTTTTTTATCAGACCTCCGTCCCACTCCCCGTCCCCGCCTCCCCTAAAGAATGGCTGACAGACTTTGTACTCAACGCTGGGCCAGAGTTATGCAGGCTCATTAAGTTGTTATACAGTTTAGAGAGAAAATTGTCAGCTTGCTTAATTTGGTGGAGCAGAGCAACAAGGCTGCGGGAGGCGGGTAGCGGGTGGTGGGAAGTGGAAGGCGAGAGGCGGGAAACCGGGACCGGAGCACAGGCGCATAAACAAAAGATTTCCGTGGCTGGCCCTCAGCTTTTGTGTCCATGTCGCAAGCTCATGGAAATTGTTTAATGAAATGAATTTTAAGAGAAATTTATTATACGCCCGAAACGAAACGAAATGAAAAGTGAAGTCCCCCAATTTATTTTACAATCTATGACTGGGCGAAAGTCCGGATGTATATTTCAAGTATAATTAAACCTAGGCCTTTCCATTCAACCGCTCCCGGCACACTAGTGTAGTCCAATGGCACGTCCAATTAGACTTGGGGATGGAAGTTTTCGGATTTAAATGCAACAAGCTGCAGCTCGTCTATGCCGCAGCGTGCTTTCATCTATCAGAGTCGATGCGGATCCTTGATACCTCCGCCTTTCACTCTGAGCTGCATGACCACATCAACTTTTCTCTTCCACAATTTCACCTTCAATTAAACTTGAGTTAATTGACAGCGATGGAGCCAAATCCTGAGCCACCGCGGCAGCACCACCACCGCCCAGGTGCACAAACACAAACACACACGCACACGCACACAAACACACACACACACATTAGGAGCTCTCGCCCGAGATAAATGGCGATGCCTTAAACTGATTGTGGGGATTAAATTGCCATATTGGCGAAATTGGCAGCGACGGTGTCAATGTGGAGACAGCAAGGGCTGCGCCGACTCCCGAACTCCAAACTCCAGAAGGGGAGCCAGAGTATCGAAAACTTATTTTTGATAAGCGCAATTATAATTGGATTTGGGAGAAGTTGCTCCAGAGGCAGGTAGCTTATTAGATGGCAGCAGAGCTCGAGCCAGCCCAATGATTAATCTACCTCTGGAGTATTTAAAAAGAAAGATGCGCCTTGAGGGCAAGGGCAAGGGCAGCGGCAGGGGCAACGGCAGGGGCAAAGGCAGGGCGAGCAAGCCAATGGCAAAATTGGAAATTGTTGTGTTTGGCTGCGATAAAGACGTGTTTCGCCTCGCTCACCCCCTGCGCATTTTTGTAAATGTTTGCTGTCAAGATAAGCACCACACAGCATGTGGTTTTATTTGCTCTGACTCGACTACCCGACAGACCCGACAGACGCGAGTGAGTTTCGAGTACGAGCGCGTCCCAGGACTTAACAAAGACAAATGAAGCTGTTACCGATTGACAGAGTCCCGTAGTCTCTGATCTTATCGGCTGTCCGTCCGATTTCCGTTGCAATGCAACAGCTTTGATGTGCAGTTGACTGCTCGCTTGGCTGACGGCCATTAATTGGGCTTAATTATTGGGCAGTCGAAGCGCAGCCACCCCCACCCCCCCTGTAGAGCCCCAAAAATGTGTTGAGAGTGTGCTTTCATTGTTGCAGCACCTGCGAATCTTTGAGTTATCTACTCCCTGCCATCTGCCATATCTCCTTCTGATCCTTTCCCTCCCCCCCTTTCCACTTCCACTTCCACCTCCTCCCACCTGCTGCGAGCTGTGTCAATAGCTCATTAAAGGTCCAAAAGTCCACTGGACCACATAACCCAAATGAAAGGCATTTACTTCGGCCCATAATTAAGCGCAGACAATGTGGCTCGCCAAATCAGGACACACGCTCCCCGGCTTGTCAAATATTCCGGCTTGGCAACAATTTATAAATTCAAATGGGGTTTGCTCGCCCCGCCCCCGTTTTCGCCGGCAAGTCGAGGCATAAATTCGAAATTGTATGCCGCCTGGCCGCCGGCGCTAGAAATCTCACCAAATAATTGACTATTTTGGCTCGCGTTCTCCCACATGTGCGACGCGCTCAAGGAACTGCTTTAAGTTCTCTGATTGCGTGTTTATTTTCCGAAAATTGAAAAACAACAATCCAAAAAGCGGGCAATTTTTGTTAAGCTATTTTTGTACAGCCATTTTCCCAACATAACAATTAAACCGTTTCCCAGAACTTTCGGGGGACCAGATTTCCCTCCATCTTTCTGTTGCCACCGGCCCCTTTTCAACAGGCTGTGACTTTCCACGCCTTTTGTTGCGCATGCAAATTAATGATGGCAATGATTTGTGGGCAGTCCTCGGGCGCCTCGAAAGTGAGGGCTTATTTATTTTCCTACTCGCAATTTGATTGTTCCTAAGTTTTAATTGTGCTTGTCATTGGCTGGGGGAGTGATAGGGCTGGTGATCAATTACGTCTATATAAAGCACAAGGCAAAAGCTATTCCTATCTATCATAGAGAAAACTATGCGAGGGGCAAGTGTGTGGAAAGCGACAGGACTTTAACTCTGACTGATTCGAATCGGCCGAGAGTATGTAAGATAACATGGAAATAACATCTGTAAATATTTAGTGAGCTCACTATCATAGAAGAACATATTGAGCTTTACCTAAATACATAAGGTTCCTATATATAAAAGCAGGGACAGAACGAGAGAGTGTGGTATATAAATAGTTTAGTATATAAATTAGGTTTAGGCTTTACATTGTACATGAGGCAATCACGGCGGAGCTAAGAATAAAAGTGCTTAAGCTGCGATTCCTATGGCAGGTTAGTCCACGTATAAGTAGATGATTATATTTGGAATGTGTCTGTGCTCAGAAATGTAGGTATATATGTATATCCATTGTTTACACTACTATGTGTCGAGCATATGACGCTTTTACACATGGAATACTCTCTATTGCGTCGGCTGCTATTATTGCATTAAACATACTACAACAATTTAATTATTTAGCTTCAAATAGCTCTAACTTCCACTTTGAACT